CAATCTGCAATGGAGTGCCATATCAATAAGAAGGCACTTTTTTTTTGTTTGTGGTCTTTAATAACAATGTCTGGGCAGTTGGCTTTGATTGTTCTGTCAGTGTGTATTGCGTAGTCCCATAGAATTGTAACAGGTCCTATCTCCGTAACCGGGTCTGGGTGGTGTTCATACCAGTTTCTTTCAGTTTCCTTTCCATAGAAGTTGCAAATTTTCCAGTGCAGATATTGGCCCACTCTGTCATGCCGAGTTTTATATTCAGTGGAATCCAATATCGTGCAACCTGATACAAGATGATCAATCGTTTCTGGATATTTATCACAGAATCTGCATTTTGGGCTAACACAGTATTTTAGTATACGTGCTTGATAATTCCTAGTTAACAATCATTGGTCCTGTGCAGCAAGGATAAAACCTTCAGTTTCAGCTTTCAACCCTGCAATTATTATTATTATTAATTAATTAATATATATTTTGTTCACCCAATAATAGGCCAAAGGGCCACTCAAGGTAGAGGGTTACTCTCTGGAGTTGTATTAGCATGAGAAAGGGCAAGATAAGAGGAAAGATTGACAGCTAATTCTAGATTTGAAGAGGTCAAGATTTGATTAGTGAATAGCATTTCAGAGTTCAGGCGGAGACATTAAGAGTATGGAGTTGAAATAGACTTTAGAAGGATCCGGAAACCCAATCCTAAACCGGGAACAAGGGATAAGCTTCTACTCCTGTTCAAAAGACCGGGGAGGAGGGGGAATCGGAAGATAGGCAAACCTGTCTACTCCTGTAGTATCTCTTCTACTCCAATAGTTTCGCGTCTCGCACTTCCTGTCTGAGGAACTCCCTTCCTCTTACTTGCTACCCTGATAGCTATAATCTCCAATTATTCAAATGTAATGTCAATCGACATCTTCAGATGCCTGGATCTAATTCCCCGTCCTTCTCGTCATCCTTTCCTCTATAACGCCTCTTTACTCTTACTCTCAATCCTCTGTAACCCCTTGCGTGCTAGTGACACTCCCGCCTTGCTTGGGGTGAAAGCCTTAAAAAAAAGAAATTGTATATGATTTGTTGTAGAGTAGTTTTCACAGTGGAGGCTTGTATTTCACTAAGTCGGTCCTAAATTAGGTTCGACGTACAAAACGTTAGGAACTTGAAATAATAGTTAATGACGCAGCAATCTAGTTGTGGTGGATGATACTTTAAGGTCCGACATCGACTGACTCACCAACTCACACTGAGCCCTGGCGACTGCTACAACTACTTATTATATCTGGGAGAGTCTATTACAATAGAATAGGTATGTTCCGGTATAACATGATGATAAAACCGTCCAGAAAGAGAAAATCACTTCAGTCCAAAACGAGCTCATAAATTAGTTTTGAAAAAGTCTTGTTATCTTCGATTTTTAGACGATTCTTCGAAATCCAGAGTGTGGACCGAAACTGTTAGCCTGTAGTGTATGTATTTATTTTATTGGGTGTATGAGCACTTGTAGCTTTAGAGTTAGTTAATATTATAAATTATGACAAGTTGCATTGATTTAAATGGAGACAAATGAGGCAGTAATATATCAAGTTTTTGTCAGATTTTGAAAAAGATTTTATTTGTTTTTGTATGTAAAAATATTTCAAACTTCAAACTGACATTTTCATTTTTTTAATTTATAGAAAATAATTGCAAAAACAACTGATTAGTAAAGATTTTCATTATTTACTTTATTCGGACTGTTATTCTCATCTTCATTGCCATATTCACAACGTTTCGGTCGTTGTGCCTTCTTCAGCTGTTTGGAATTTCGAACCGAAACCTTTATTTTGTCCACCGGGTTAGATTGTTCTAGTTCCACGCGTCATGCTTCTTCCGGGTGTCTCAGTTATTTCACTTTAACTCAACTCTGCAAGTTTTGGTTCACCACTGCTGTGACCTAAAATTGAACTCACAATTATTTGAGTCTAGTAACTGGATCTAACCAAAGTCTTTACCCATTAGGCCATGTGTTCTTGAGGACACCCCGGTGGACGAAATAAAGGGTTCGGTTCCAAATTCCAATCACCTGAAGAAGGCCGGACCGTATAACGGCCGAAACGTTGTGAGTATGGCAATGAAGATAACAGTCCGAATAATGTCAATAATCCAAGTAATCATAATAGGTCATCTCAGAGAAGACAGGACCCAAAGAATGTGAGTTCTATACCTGGTTAAAGCAGTGGAGAACTTTCAGAGGGAAACAGAAGATAACTGATAACTGACATCCATTAAACATGGCACGTGGAACTAGAACAGTCTACCCGAGTGAGCGAAATAAAGGGTTCAGTTCGACATTCCAACCACTTGAAGAAGGCCGGAGCGTACAACGGCCGAAACGTTGTAATAACTATAGCGACAAAGATGAGGACAATAGTCCGAATAATGTAAATAATGTACATAATACCTCATCTCAGAAATATAGACAGATATTGAAGGATCGGATAAATATGGCAACAAAGATGAGGACAATAGTCCGAATAATGTAAATAATGTACATAATACCTCATCTCAGAAATAGAGACAGTTTTTAAGAGGGTTACGTTCTGTTCAGGCCAACTGTTTCTTTTTGCTTTCAAGTCTAGATTTATTTGCAACAGTATTTTTTTATTAGTTTTAATTTTTAAATTGAAAACACTTAACAATTTTTTGTTGTAGGAGGATTGTTCTTTAGATTGAAAAAAAAAATCACCTTCATGTCAATAAACAAATTTATTGTCTAAAATTCTTATTTTGTATAATTTCGCAGAATAAGACAGGTTATTAATATGTTCATTTGCAAATGATAAACGAGGTTTCAAATGACTTTAGAAAAGAAATATTACGAGGTCAGCATCCTGGTAGTCCTACTCTTTGCAATATTATTTGTAGTATTTCTTGTTACTTTCACTCCAGCGGTTTCAGAATAATTTATAAGATCTTTAGTTGTGAGATATTTAGTTGTAATATTTGACTGATTTTCAACAGAACTACGAAGATTACTTCCTGCTCTGACAGTATCTCGTGGCTACCAGAGAGAGAGAGAGAGAGAGAGAGAGAGAGAGAGAGAGAGAGAGAGAGAGAGAGAGAGAGAGCCGAAGATCAAACCAATAAGTTCAACAAATTAATTTTCTTTAAATGCTATCTGAGAAGGTCTGAACTGGTGGAATAAAGAAATGTCTGAACATTTTTCATCAAAATATCAGATTAGTGAGAGGCTTGCAACGTTTCATCTGTGGAGAAGGGGTTTGTAGGGTAGAACATTTTGTTATTACATTAATACTTCTTAGTTAGCTCTTGAAATTGTGGCCTTAAATCTAACTCGGGAATTGAACCCATGACTACCCAGTAAACTGTATTCTTTGCAACGCTATTTCATCTTCTCTTTTTTCTGAATAGTTGTTTTAAGATAGGCTGACCACGAACGAGTGACGCTAGGGCTGTGAAATCTTGCATGCATCCAGACAAACTCTTCTTATTAATAACTGTGTTGTTTCTTTCCAGATAAACCAACATCTGAGCGTCCAAAGAAGACTTCAAAAGTAACTCGTAGCGTCTTCACTTAAAAAAAAAATTGGCATCGTGGTGTTATCAAGCAACTGCAGAAAAAGGGTTTAGTATTCAATGACATTCATGCTGACATGGTTACTATTAGGTTGGTGCAAAAATAATGACGGAATAATGTCGTTTTTGACGTTAAAAAATACGTCAAAAAACGACATTATTACGTCATTATTTTTGCACCAACCTAATATATTAAGGGATAACGCCCCAGCTTTATCAACAGTGCAAAATTGGGCAGCTGAATTTACGATGAGAAAAGAGTGTTTAAAAATGATCCAATATCTGGACGTCCTGCAAATGCCACCTCCGAGGAAAACAGTGATCGTGAGGATGGATGATAGGTGATTGACTATAAATCAAATAGCCAATGCTATTACCGTATCTCGTGTGAGAATTGAGAACATTCTGTACAATGAACTTGGCTTGATGAAGGTTTCTGCTCGGTCACTGTCACGTCTTCTGACACCTGACCAAATGCCCGCCAACTTGATCACATCATCGGAAAACCTGACATTGCATGAGAAGGGTACAGCTGGTTTCCTTAGACGTTTCCTAACCTAGGATGAGTGCTGGGTTCATCATTTTGAGCCAGAGAAAAAGAGACAGTTCATGCAGTGGAAACGCCCCTCCTCACCTCTTCCAAAGAATGCCAAAGCCGTTTCATCTGCAGTGAAGGTTATGGCCTGTTTGGGGGGATGCAAAATGTATTGTGTTTATTCAAAAGAGCCACAGCATCAATGGAGAGTAATATGCCAATTTGATGAGCAAGTTACGAAAAGCTATCAAGACCAAACGCCCAGGAACATTAACGAAAGGGGTCTTTTTTTCAGGCTCCAGCACACATGTTCTTAGTTTCCATAGTTGCTGTGCATGACTCTGGCTTTGAACTGGTTGATCACCCTCCTTATTTTCCTGATTTTGCCCTATCTGTTCCCCAATAACGTTTGTGGGTTTTACTCAATCAATTAAATATGGCCTACGTTAAATTTTAACTAAGCGAAGAAGCAGAAATTAAAAAAAAAAAGTTTTTCATAAATCTTATACACACACACACACACACACACACACACACACACACACACATATATATATTATGAATGTTATTTTTAATGGGGTCACATGTTTTAATTGTTTTTTATGTTTATTTTAATTTTCATAAACAGTGACATTAACTACAACCGGCGTGTGCAAACACGTTTACCCACTAAAAATAATCTTTATAGTAAGAAATAATGTCGGATTAATATATCCATTAAAAAAAATTATTGATGTTTACATTTCGAGTACGAAACTGAGGCTAGAAGATACAGATTCGTAGAAGTCCCGACAAGAGCTGCGTTCCTTAAATATGTAATTCAAAGCTTGCCTTATGAAGATGGTCTCTAGGGGTCAGATTGGTATCAGAGAAATAGCATATGTAAAAATAGCATATTTAC